GTTTGAATATTGAATAGTGATATGCATTGAGTACCACTTCAATGATATCATCAATCTGTTTTGACTTTTATTAAAATCCATAGCTTTATAATGAAATGTTAAAATAATGTAAGGCTGTAAAAAAGAGGAGTACGCTCTCAGCATAGTAAAGCCCTATCTCCATGTAGAGATGAACCTCTACTGTATTGGTCCATGACTGACATATATCTTTATTGTTGAATTGCTGAGAGACTTTTATTGATCATATGGCTGAACTGAAACAATATTTCTGCCATACATTGATTTGAAATATGAACAGTGGCGTTTCTGCCTATATCTGGTTCAGTCATAGTGTGTAGTGATGTAGCATAAAACATTACAGTGCATGCAGGTACCATACCTCAAATCTGAGGATGGTTAAAGTATAAAACTGCATCCATGATGATTGTTCGACACGTTAAAAAACCCTGAGAGGTAAGTAACCTTGCTCTAAGAACATTCTTCTTGATCCAATAATGACTCTTACCTCAATTTCTCAATATCTCTGGAAGAATCTTAGGTAGATGTATCTTTTCAGCCGGGGTATCTTATCTTAATGTTATTGTTGCTTGAATACCGTAAGGAGGAGACCTAGTCAGTGATCAGCAAATCTGAAATAGAGAAAGTTTGAGAGTTAATACCAGTGTATCAAACATATTATCATAAAAATTACAACCTTCTCAAACTTAAACAATAAAGCACTGCTGTGGCTGCTAAAGATTTAGAAAAAATTTGTGCATTAACAAATTGCATTGAAATTCTTTTAAATCCTACATTTATAAATGCCTGGTTGCTAGTAAACAAAAATGGCGTCCTGTATTTTATGTCACAGTGCTATTATTGACATCTCATACAGATGGGGTATTCCCCAAAAATACGAAATATTGATTTGTAACACTTGACGTTAGTTTGTGAGATGATGACAATGTGCAAATAACACAAACCAGTTGAGTTATAGCAAAACAAGTTTCTCCCTTATGAATAAGCAACATGTTCACTCAACATTTGTATTTCATTTGATACAATGAGGATTGTGTATCGATTTGGATTTATAAGAAAGCCATAGTATGTGGTAAGTACTTAGTACATGATTTTGTATTTGTGCCATTGTTCATCCTTATTTATTTGTTTCATACAAAACTTTTTTCGTAAAACAATCTTCTGAAATTTTGTAATTGGATTATTAAATTTCTTTTTGAGAAGATGGTCTTTTAAAGTAAAAAATGGGTTAGCATGAATATCCAAATTAATCATTTACTACCCTTACATGTATGCAGTATTTTATATGAATGATATTACCAGTTTGAACCAGCTCAAACTGCTATTTACTTAAGGGCTCATTCACAAAACTGATATCATGCATGCATTTAAAGGAATAATAATATAGCAAATAAAATACAAGAAAGTCAAAATATCTTAAAATATTATATAACATTGACGAGTCTGAGTGACTGAGGCCTCTCTGAAATGCCTGACACTCATCTAAAATTCCTAAATATTCTTTTAGAGCAGGTATTGACTAATTATAATATGGATTTAGAATTTGTTTTTTGAAATATTGATTTTTGATTCAGCCCTTAAGGTTGCATATCAAACCATATGGGCGTTACACTGTAACTGTAGTGTACCTTATATATTTACGGTTTAAAATTATAAGATCTTATGCAAGACTTCGTGTCAATTGTTTGCCAAACTGTGGTACTAATATTCCAAATATAATTTTCATGTCTTTTTGTTGTATATACTATTTTTTGCAGCTGTGTATTTACTAATCCAATTTAAGAGGGTATTGCTTTATTAGACTCAAGACTAAGCCATTCTGGAGTCTTAAATGAACTTGTTCAATTTTACATATCTAGTTTTTTTTCCATGCAAATAATAACTTGAATGCTTGAATTGATGCATCATGATTTGTTATTTTATATTCCAGGATTATACTCCAGTGCTTCTTTGTTACAAAGTCACATTTGTTGCAGCCTATTGCTTTATCAATGGAAAAATGTATATGCTATTGAATTATTGCAGCTGTTTGTTATATCTGTTGATAGTCATTTTTTGTCAAACCCTCATTTGCAGGCTTTGATATATTATGTCTATCCTTTACAATATGTTCAGTATTTTAATATTTGGAAGGCTCAAAATAGCATTTACCATTTTTATTATTTTTCTTGGCCAAAAACTTAATTCAGATCATGTCATATATGCTGCACATTCAAAAAGTAATAGACTTTGACTTTGTAACACTTGACTTTTCAAATGCACTACATTTTCAGAATTCTTTATGCTCACAACGAGACTTATTTATAAGTTGAAGTTTGACTGGAATTCTACTGAGTTACTGTACACTGCAATTATAGTTTATATCCTGGTTTGGATTGTTTTAGATGTTCTGACAAGAGAAAAACGTATCAGTTCTCTTCACATATCATGTATTTAATATTTAACATATGTATCATTTGACAACGCTTTGCTGTGACCAAGGCTATATAGTGTTTGTAAATTAAGTTCATTAACTGGTGAGAGCATTTTTAGATATTCCAAAAACTACAGAAACGTTACATGTTGCAATATATCTAGGCACTGAGGGTTTTGCGCAGCCTTGCCCTAGTCGGTCTCTTTTGCTTATCTTGATTTCTATTATAACCTTTGTACCCAAGAGAACGCCAAGTGCTTTACCGACCCAATGTTTATGTCAGTACAATTTGACCAATCAACGACAGCCCTGTTAGCTTATTATTATGCGCAGTCAAAAACAAGTACACTTTTCACCGGGACTTTTCATGAACAAATCTTGCACAAATTTATCCTGAAAGTACAAATATTTTATCAGATAAATATCAATCTGAGTTTAGTGGATGCCGGAGCATCGATCAGATACCTGGAGGTGAGAATGCTTTAAAGGGATTAACTTTGTGTCAAAATGCAACATATTGATGCAACAAAAATTGGAAAAGCAAGGGTGGAAAGCCAAAGGGATTAAAAATCAGGACAACATTTCAGGAGAATCATGTGGGTGGGTTGATTTCATCTTCCCTGTCTCAAAGTTTAAATTATGTTATCATCTCTATTAGTGCTTTTCCTGGAGATAATGCATTGGCTTAATGTATGCACCTGTTTAATCCTCAGAAGAAAGCCAAAATCCAACATATAACTGTCTGAATTATGTTGCGATACCTTCCCTCCTCCTTTAAAGCAGATATGAAATGGTATTTTTAACCTAAAGGAATCAATATAATTTTTTGATAAATGTATTTGGACATGTTTTCTCATCAGTAGTGTGAAAATTATTTCACTCTTACGATCGTTATAGCTGCTTAATAAGCAATATTTGAATTGGTTGTGACGTTATTGGCCCCCACGTGATCTCTCACTTGTCCCCACGTGGCCCGTTTTGGTCCATTAGATCATGACGTCATAATGCCGAACTGTTTTGTTATTTGTTTACACAACAATCCTATGGTTGCCGTGACGTTGTGATTACTAAGGAACCAATAAACCAAAGTTATATTTTGTATATGACGTTACTAATCACGTGGGGGCCAATTTGATTGATCAGTTAGTTTTATTTCGTTATCTATGACCGTTGGAAGTTATCTAACATTTATTTTATTTTATAATGGCTATCGCAAGAACTCTACCTTGGGCTTACAATGGAGAAAACCGCATTTTTGTAGCTGCAAGTTGAGCAAAGCTATTTCAGTTGTCCTTTAAACCATACCATATGAGAAATTGGACACTATTTGGGCAGAAAACACATTTCACACCTTTTTTGATCATTTTGAAGCAGTTTTAACCATTCAACAGATAAGGCTCATGTTACCTACATAAACGGTTAGAGAGGGCAAAGTTACCCCATGTTACCCAAAATATGAGAAGCTCTCCGTACAAATATCTTACAAAAAATCAAAATGAAATCTAATATTCAGTGTTATGAGCCATATTTCATTAGAATTGGTCCATGATTAATGAAGATATTGACATTTTAAGACCATAAAGCGGTATGTTGCGATTTCAATGGAAGATGATTTCATCTTTGGAAACTTAGAAAATTTCTTTGGATCACAATAGCTTTGCAACTAACAGAGGCAGGATGCTAATTTTTACACCATAATGTGCAGGATTCAAAACCAAACCAAAGTCAGAATACATTAGCTTTTTCAGACTGCGGCTAAAAAAGTTTCCACAGGAAGATTCTTGAAGGGTTGAAGATCATAGATGTTGAAGTTCACATTTTATCGATTTTTCAGTAATGTTTTGTTAAAGGTTATAATTTCTGCAAATTTCAAGATTAAGAAAAATGTATGGTACCAAATTTTTAGACCTTAGACAAAAATTTTAAACCTTCTTCTACAACATGTGAAAATATGAAAGGATTAGGTAAATAAGGGTTATGTACTGGGAGGTTTTGGATATGGGGTTTATCCAGAGGGAGATCTCACGAGGGATGAGCCCAATATCCAAACCGACCGTACATAACTGCTTTATCCTATACCAAGTAGTTTTTTAATTTTCTTTCAATTTTTTCAATTTTTTTTCACATTTTTCAATTTTTTTTCAATTTTTTCAATTTTTCTGTTTTTTTCTTTTTTTGAATTTGTTATTTTTTCACATTTTTTCTTTTTTTCAATTTTTCGAAGCGGGAAGATATGCCCTGGAGCGGGAGATATGGCGGGAGATATGGAGGCTCAGGATATGGAAACCTCAAAATCAGGATACGAGATATATCTTACCAACTCATCTCCCTAAAACTCTACTTGGCATAGGATAAATCAGGATATAGTGATCCAAGAAGAATTATAATCAACCTAATTATTTTGAATGGATGCACGGAAATATATAGAGATTAAGCAGCTGAGTGCGATCTTCAGATTTTCAAGTTTATTGAGTAGGGATTTTAGTATTGTTATAGCATACATCTCTGGTAATATATGAGCAATTTTAATATGTGATCTCAAATAAGTTGACAAGAATGTGTTTTGCAGGTCATCTTGCTATAGTACAAGAACGGGGGCAACAACCAGATCCCAACCACCCTGATGAATCACACAGAGGAGTAAGTGATTTTAGTTTGTACAAAACAATTTGCAAATTTTAAGTTACCAATATACATTGATCAATTTTGCAAATCCTGGTAAATAAATGATGTGTTTTAAAATGTTTGGAGTTTGTTTTAATGGGCCCAATGGAGTTAAGATTTGTTTTTCATTAAGGATATATATTTGTTCTGTTTAAATGGAGCTCTTCAAATTAGTTCTAATTATAAGTATACTAGAATTAGTAATAACACAAAATATAAAATAACATCAGTTCCATTAATATTTTTGAATTATATGTATTGCTTTTTCTAGTGAACAAATGTGATGCAACAAAATAGAAGTAATTGATAAGTACTCTCCCTATTTCTGATACCCTTTGCATTCGTTTGACTTCACTTCTTAAAAGAGAGCTTCGTCTTCACTCTTTCAAACTAAAATAAACCTGTGAACTAACCGCGCCAATCAGTGTTCGTGGGCCAAATTTGACCGACGTTCTTTATATGGTCAGTCATTCTGACGTCATCTTTGAGCCCGGAATTGACCAATGACATGCGCATATTTAATTAGAACGCATTTGGCGTATGTTTCTTCAAGCTCGCTGATTGGTGGAAGGTCAGCGCCTAGGTCAAAAGTGATTTACCCAAACTGTCACCTGTACCCGTCGCGGGGGCGGGGCTACTAAACTGTAATATGGTATCTACTAGGCAGAGTGTAGTTTAACTAGACTCTGCAAGCAGGGTATATTTCTGAAAGAGTGCAAGATTCTTTGTTTATTCTATGTAGCAACAAAGCTGACATCTTTCTAAATTTAACAGTTATATCCATATAAAAAGTGTATTTCTATTTTGTCTACTATACTCCTGACATCTAATGTCAATTTTGCAATTAAAGATATGGGTTTTATGATATTCACCCTATACTGTATATGCCCACTCTAAATATATCTTTTTTTTATTGCAAAAAAATCTAAAATATGTCGACATAATTTAACTGTTGACCTTTAATCCTCAAATTAATTTTTTCAGGCATTTTAGACCTTGTGTTTCAACTAGTTTTGAATCGATGAATCATTTACAGGTTAAGAAAAGTCTAGAATTCAAGGTCCGATATTACTAATTATTTAGAACCTGTTGATGATTTAAAGAAGTGGTCCATCATTAGTAACTTGGTAATGAATGATTAATATGTATAGTACGTCGAGAAAACTAAGATAATAGTTATTGTGACATAGATTGATGATCACATATATTGACCTTCAAATTTTCAGCCTTTACAATGCTGAATAAAATGTTCCTTTATTTGAAATTCATGCTATTATGTTTTTAGCTCACATGGTGAGCTATTGCAATCACTCACTTGTCCGTCCATCCGTCCCTCCGTCCATCCGTCTGATAAGATTCCCATTTTAAGTTATTTTTGATCAACGTCAATATAGAAAACTCCCCTATGACTTCTGGTTCAAAAGCTTGTCTATTTTCAAAATGGTCGCCATTTTTGTCTCGTGAAATTCACTTTTGGCCCATTTCCTAGCTTTACAAATAATTTCAGGTATCCTGCATTGTAAAAAGCTATGACATTGTAAAAAAAGGTTGTATGAAATAATTTTGTTACAAAAATAGGCAATAAGTTATATCCGTTTTTTTATTTTCAGTCATTTAGTTAACATTGATTTGTCCATCTGTCTCGCAAAATTCACTTTTGGACCATTTGCTTAAAAACCTGCGTTGTTAGAATTCCCGTTTTAAGTTTTTTTTTGTTCAACATCAATACAAAAAACTCCCCTATGACTCCTGCTTCAAAAGCTGGCCTATTATCAAAAGTTGCCATTTTTGTCTTGCGAAATTCACTTTTGGCCCATTTCCTAGCTTTACAAATAATTTCAGGTGTCCTGCATTGTAAAAAGCCATGCCACTGTAAAGAGTAGTTGTATGATATAATTTGTTACAAAAAATCAGCAAAAATTGTATCATTTTCTGCTATTTTAGCCATCATTCACTTTTGAGCAACACCATGTGAGCCCAGTACCCATGGTACTATTTATTATTTATTTGAACAGTTGTCTTTCAAATTGGCTTAATCAATGTCAACTAACTTTAAAACCTAGTTTCTGCATATTTGGTTATCTGATTTTATCTGTTTTGAATTTTAAAAAAAGATCTAAACTTTTCCTGTTTTATTTCCAGAAGGTAGTTGGTATCATCACCCTAGAAGATGTGATGGAAGAACTGATCCAAGAAGAAATCATTGATGAGACAGATGTTTTTGTAGATGTTCATAAGAGAATACAAGTCGCAAGAGCAAAAGCATCAAACATTTGCCGTAGCACTTCAATTACAGATAAATATCCAGTAAGTAAAGTTTTACATATTTTGAGATCAGATTAGGTAGAAAGTTCCTGAATTTTAAGTGACTATGAATTTGAAAAAAACAACTTTGGGTGATAGTGTATGGTATTTGAATTGAAAAGATTCAGTGATGGAAAATACAGTGTTTTACACTTGAATAAACAAATCATTATTGTCCTTCAAAATTAACCAAAAATGATTTAGTAAAAAAATTACATATTCACCTGACATTAGGCGTTTGCTTCAGGTCTAATCATGATCAACATCACCATCATTAATGAGAAGCCTAGCACTTATCTATATTGGGTCTAATTCAAAATATTTGAACATATTTTTAATTCATTCAGGCAAAGGTTAATTATGATATTTTTAGGGTGCTAGAACCATGTTATTCTCCTGAGAATTCCTATGCACCTATCATTATAGATGATGATAAAATGTTCTTTCAGAAGTTTCATTAGAATTTCTGAGAACATGCAAAACAAAATAAAAAAAGTACAATTATTGGAATTACATGCTAACATGGTAACATTGCAAAATTCCTGAAAAGAAAATTACCTGATTATCTTAATCTTGCAATTAACCTTCAGAATTTTAATTTGATCATTTTATAGTTATCTTTAAATTCTCAAAAATGTAGAAGGGGTTAATGAGCTACCTTATATGCATTACAGTTAGTCAGTTACAGTTCCAAAAAATGTATAGAAACCCAAAATGATATTTGAAAGAGTGGAATGAAATGAACTCTCACGTTTTCATGCTTTTAGAGAGTGAGATAACTTAGGGTTTCAAGATAGTCAGCCTATTCCAATGATCAAGAAATGTTAACTCAACCTCTGTTTACATTTCATGTGATATTGATAGGTTACTTCCCCATATACCAGGTAAAACATCATTACACTTTTGAGTGATTCATTGTGATTCAAATGCCTGAGGTGCTCATACAAAATTCAACATCATGCCAGTTGGGCATGTTCTAAAAGGTGTGCTGGCTCCGATTTAGTGGACTCTGTGGCCTTATCCATTGTTTAGTCATTGTGTGGTTAAAATGACTAAAAGGTGGACTGATACAAAGGCCACTGTTTAGGTATTTTGATAAAAGAATGACTAAAAAGTGGCTTCAAACTGGAGTATAAAGGGTTAAGTAAAAGGATGGTACTGAGTGATCCAACCCACCCAAGATGCATGCCTAATAGAATCATAAAACCTTATCAAGTGATACAATCTGTACCTGACACCATCAACTATTGTATCTTAGTATCCCTTAAAAATTTGATATCATTTTGTCATTGTAACAATTATCACAAACAATGAAGCTCTGATTTCATAACTTTACATGACCCCAAAACAGCCTCGAGACAGCTCAATGTTGAGAGGTGGGGGTAATCAATGCTAAAAAAAATTAATTGCAAACTTTTCCGCAACTTGCAGTTGGTAAGGGTATATGTGTATCCCAATTGATATAGAATTTACCCTATTAAATGATTATGTTGGAGGAGTTTGCAAACATTAGTTTTAAGCTGTGATTTGCAAAAAAATAAAAGAACTAGATATAGTTGAATTCTATTGTTGAAGAAAATTATGAAGTTACGTCATTTTTTGTAAATATATCAGAATCAATAGCATTCCATTGTAAGTTTAAGGCAGAGTAAATCTGGAAGAGCTGAATTACAAGGCTCTCATACTTCATCTCTAAAATCTAAAATTGACATGCTTTATAATTTTAGTATGACCACACTTGTAAAAAATTTGCATAATTTGTCAAACTTAAATTATCCTTCACATTCTTCTCAATGGGGACAATCTAGCCGACAATCTACCTAACACTCATCTGCACCCCACCTAAATATCTTTGTTGTTTCCCTGACAAATGTTGACTATATATTTTGAAAAGTGAAGCTACTCATGTTATAATGTTGAACCCAGGGGCTGGACAACCAACCTTAACTCAATTTAATTTGGAGAGGGGGGGGGGTAAAATGGTAAAACAATTGATTAAATTTACTTATTATCAATTTGTAAGGACAGATGTGAATTCCAATTGATATAAAATGTTCCCTTACTGAAAATATCATAGAAGTTTGCAGTCAGTAGTTTAAATCCTTCAGTATATATTTTATGAAAATGAAAAAAACATGGCGTAGTGTTAAGTTATATTTTTGTAAAATGACCAATATAAAACCATTCATTTTTTTGTTTTGTAACTATATCAGAAATATTTATCATTCCTTTAAAAGGGTCGACTCTTAATGGCAGGGAGATATGGAGGTAGGTCCGGTAGGTACTAATTGTCATATTTTCACTAAATCAAGAAAGTTAGGAAAAATGTTCATCTGATAATATCAGATAATATTAATAATTATCAAAACTATAACTAACAGTTATAATTTTAGTTACATCAAAACTATCACTTTTATTGGTAACTATTTCTAGCAAATGTTTCATGGAAAAGGGCCCGTGTGAAATTAGCATTATCTGATAATTTATAAAAACAATTGATAATTATCAAATCTATTGCTAATTTTGGTAATTTAACTTTTATCAAAACTATCACTTTTATTTATTATATATTTTTTCAGGCTGGCTGGTAACAAAGAAATTATATATTTTCACTTATTGATAAAAGTCAGTTTCCGCACCTAAATGAAAATCCATAAGTGTTGAATTGCATGTGGTAATAATACCTTTACATACTTTATCTCTAAAATCTCAAATTTACATGCTTCATAATATTTATGGAAATGACCACACTTGATATTCACACAATGGGTACATGGACATGATGAATATAGTTCAGTAGTTAGCATGTCTTTTTTGGATATAGCGATGCTCAAATGGATTATCTGGCATACATAGTATTACTGAGTTATACATGAACATACAGGAATCATACATTCACTTTTTTGCTTCATAATTCGACTAGTGATCCAAATTATCACACTGAAACTTGGATAAATGCTGAACTTTAACTTAATATCAATCTGCCATGTCTTTTAAAATTTAAAAATTTTTAAACTTTAAAATTTCAGGGATGATTTTAAGCATTCTGGGTAAATGATAAGGCGATCATTTTGGATCTTCCATCCTGAATCTTGTGTGCAAAGACTTATCTACACGTTTACAGATGAACCATTTGAAAGATTGAATTCAACTTTTCAGATGTGATTCTTTGTATGAAAATCTCAAACTGATTAGTTTTGGGGCATTCTGGCAGATGTTGCAATTTTGATTTTTTTACCTAAAATCATGTATTTTCAACTTATTAAAGAATTGGGCATTGGGGATAAAAACTCGAGGACCATCCATTGGTATGGACATATTGTACATGTTTGTGTTCTTGTTAATAAGTTAGAATGGAAGAAACAACTGGATTAATTTAGAAACCTGCCATCTGGAGATCAGTAGCATATTAATGAGAGAACAAATATATTATATGAAACAATATCCCATTCCTTATGAGTGAATTGCTTACGGGTAACACAATCTCTCCATAGCCAGGGGGGTGTGATGGGTCGCATCCCCTCCATAACCAATAAAAATAGAACCATTAGATAGTGGAAGAAAAGAGCTTTAAAATGCTTTTTTAAGCTTCTAGCTCAATTTTGAGCAAAATTGCATCAATTTTTGTAAAATCCAAAACAGATCTTATTTTTTTGTTTTGCCTTGCTTATGCCACGTTCATGCCAACCACTTGATTGAAACCCAAAAATTTGGCGATCGCACCCCCCTGACTGAAAGCTGACTACGCCCCTGCTCTCAAATCTACACTAAAATGCCTTCCTCTTGCATGTAACAAAGCTATATTTTAGATAAACACCGTCTACTCATCCCGCTAATCATGAAATGTGCGTCTGTGCTCGACCCTTGGTGGTCAAACATTCTAAATTCCATCTTTTTAATTTGAAAGGAAGATATTTAAAAATCCACATATTTTTTCTTGTACTTGGGAAAAGGACTTGACAAATGGAGGGCTTCGTGACATCCCTATCGAACTTCATTTGCTGGGATAATGATATTGATAAGTTCAATTCAATTTTAGATAAGTATTGTTTGAGGCCATCTTTTAGTCAAAATACTTACAGAAAACCTAAAGTGTGGCCCCATAATGGAGTATAGAGGGTTAAGTCCACTTTTTAGTAATTTTGTGAAGCAAATGTCTAAAAGATGGCCCAGAGTCCAGTCCATCTTTTCTTGGGGCCAGTCCACTGATTAGAACATGCCTGCCAGTTGGCAAGTAAATGAGTATTGACCTCATGACTAATGGGTAGTTCAGATATAACTTTAGATGTCTAGAATTGGTCCAATATTGATTTTCAGATCACTTCCAATAAAATTGTCATTTTGATTTTAATACTTAGCAATTCTTTTAATTAGATTTTTGGACGAATGTTCAAAAACAGTACTGTACAGCACTGTAAAAACAGTACTGTACTATGCTGCATTGAATTAATGCATTCACAGCCAGATATTTAACGTAATCATTTTTTAAATTGAAAAACAATGGAAAACTTCCAATTTTTGAACAGTAGTTTCGCTCGCCAGGTGGCGCCTTTACTCTCCAAAGAGAAAACAAAAAACAACACCAACCGGAAACGTGAATTGTTGAAAATATTCTGAAATATTTGAAGTTTTTTTGCAATTTACCGCTGACAATGAGTTGTACTACAGTCATATCCCTGGGGACAGATGAAAGGACAATCGGACCGAAGTTTGGACTATAATTTGGTAAGTATTTTTACTCCGGACACTCGGACTGACAGTCTGGTCGGCCCAGAGCGAAAGTAGTCGGATTTGTCCCATGGTCCGACGCATAAGGAGAGCACTGTACAGTATGATGAAAGACGTCAATGAACACCTCTCCATAGCTAGGAATACTGTTTTGGTCACTTTTAATCTTCCAAAGACTTCCATGTTAAAAACTTGAAAAGTGAACACCTGCTAATCTGACCACTCTTGGCCAGTCCAAGTGGCTATTCAGATTAGACAGGTTTTACTGTGTTACT